GGGGAAGGGGTTAACTTCGAAACCTTAAATGGGAAACGGATTTGTTATTCCATATTGAGAGCGCGGGCATAACAGGCCCTGGTCTCTGCTCGATCGCTTTAAATAACAATAATAATAATAATAAAAAAATTAATCCAGGCCCTGTAAATAGGCTCTTAAAAATATAATATATTTTCCTTAATTAAAACTTCGCTTGAATATACAACATTTAGATGGAATCCCATACACCTACGAAGTTTATATCATCAAACTGATACGGTTCAAAGAAAATTTTTAAAATTCCTTTAATATGTCACTGACGATACATACGCTGCAAGAGGTTTCCATGATTAACTACTTTTATTTAATAAGATTTAAGTACATATTTTCCACTTGAAAAAAATCGTGTTGTTATAATAATTAAATTTTCATATAATTAATTAAATAATGAGACACATTATTGTCTTTTATTAAGTGAAATTCATTTCTCTCGTTCTAACTCACGACAGCACTTACTTATTAATTTATGCAAACGCATCTAAAACTAGTGCGTTGATGTCGTTTGTGCGTATGTTAATTTTGATTCAGGGAAACACTTATTAAATTATTTAGCCAGTTTTGGAGCATCTGCGTAGCTGCGTAGCTAGTTTATATTTGTTACCAATCTTAATTCTAATATTGTTTTTTGTTGTATTTCCTGTAACTGGACAATTATTACTGTTACTACATTTCTTTGCCACGATTTAACAATTTCATCCAGGAAAATTCTTTCTTCAAGGTTTTGAATTAGAATTAGAATTTATTGAGCTTTAAAGTGTGAAGCTACGTCAAAATTTTATGATCCATTAACACAATGAGAAACACTTAAAAAGAAAAGAAATAAATTGAGTAGAAACAATACTAAGATATTTTCCCTAACAAGACTGGTGTAGCTAGTTCCATTTTACGTTGGTCGAATCCGTGGATTGGTGATCTTAATAATCGCTCACGTAATCTTTTTGAAAATTGAGGCTCGTCAAGTGCTGCAATATAGGATGATAGGTAATTGAAAAATTTTGGTGCATAATAATAATTAGCAAACTTATACTTTTATTTATGTGATGGTAATCGAATAGTATGTCATTGGAACCTCTGGTATTATACCCATGACAATCATTATGTTTTGTATAATACTTTAAATTATTTTTGGTGTAGGTAAGGCTCTGATATACATAGTTAACATTACAAGTGTTTTAAAATATGGCCTTGCGTCTTGATAATAATTTAGATGACGAATTATTTGTATAGCGTTCAATTGGAGTTTGAAAATACCGTGTTACAAAGCATCCCTTTGGCCACATGTTGGGATCTAGAGCAGTATCAAAGTTTTATAGACTGACCGTCACCTTGAAAGCTGACTAGAATTCTGAATGCTTGCTTGGTGTCAAGTTTTGTGGCCGTTGTTTCAAGAAATCTTGTTATTATTAGCTTATTGATTTCTGTAGCTGTGGTTTCTAGGGCCAGACGCGACACATAAATGAAGGCTTTTTTGGTACTACCCCATTGATGTTTTGTCATTTTTTTTTGCTCTATTTACTGTTGTTTTGCGGGTTTTTGGGTTGGATATTTTTGAATTGTGAGATCTCCGTACCGCGTTTTTAGTTGTAGTTCGCGGTGTTGGTTGATCTGAAAACTTTCGGGTCCGTCGATTGTTTGCTTGGTCTTTTTACGGCCGGTTGTTTATCACCGGAAATCAGCCTATGATGGCATACCTTCAAATTTTTTGGACCATTTGAATTACGCGGTCAAATCACGTGTTCAAGATGCTGTCCGTACTGGTACATGAATATCTACAAAGGAGTCTGACTGTAGGGCTGTTTCTTGAAAGGCAGAAAAATAAATGAAATATTGTTGACTCTCGAAGTAAATTTTACACATTAATCAAGTTGAAATCATGTTCTTAATATGCTTAACTCAGGGGCACCAATTTAATTCATGTTTTCTATATATGTGACACATGTGCCAGTTTAGGGTTATGTTGTAAATGAAAAAATTCAGAGATAGATTTTAATAAAACCTCGAATTTCCCTATGATGGCATACCAAAGCTTTCCCTTTGATGGCATAGTATGACATCATAGGTATAAGGTTTTGACTCTCATAAAAACTGAGAAGTCTTTTTTTATGACAGAGTAATGTCACTTGCAGCCTAAAGTACAATGTCCAGTAAGGCTAAGAGGCAATTATGGGAGGAAAAAAACATGGCAGAAGCTTTGCGAAATGTTCGGGAAAAAAAGATGGGATGGCAATTAGCGTCCAAAATTTTCAATGTCCCTGCTACCACACTGCGCAGAAGATTTAAAAACAATTGTAATAGTACCAAAGGAGATTTGGGGGGAGGGGGGTTAAAGACCAGTATTTAGTCGAGAGATGGAAGATCAATTTGCTCAACATATATATAAAGGATATGGAAGCTAAATTCTTCGGTTTAACATTAAAAGATTTAAAGAAGTTAATTTTCGAATTTGCGTCTAAAAATAATATAAAAAAACCTTTTAACAAAGAAAAAGAAACACCTGGTGATAAATGGATTCAGGGATTTTTAAAACGAAATCCACAGATATCTCCCAGAAGGCCTGAAAACACCTCAGCTGCTCGGGCACAAGCCTTCAATAAAAATAATATCGCTTTATATTTTAAGTCTCTGAACGAGGTTATGGAAAAATATAACTTTCCACCAGAAAATATTTACAACATTGACGAATCTGGTCTCAGTGTAGTACAAAAACGACCACAAAAAATTCTAGCTACTAAAGGACGATAGCAAGTTGGAGCGCTGTCTAGTGATGAACGAGGACAGCATTTAACTGTGGTATGCTGTATGAATGCCATGGGCACGTTTGTGCCACCAGCCTTTATATTTCCAAGAAAAAGAATGAAAAATGAGCTGATGGACAACGCTCCAATGGGCAGCAAAGCCTATTGTCAACTAAACGGTTGGATGTGTTCAGATGTTTTTGTACAATGGTTGAAACATTTTGTACATTACCCTAAAGCTTCAAATGAAAACAAGGTTTTACACTTATTGGACGGCCACAGCAGCCACAAAAGTGCTACAATACGCGAAAGATATTGGTATGATATTATTCTGTTTTCCCGCACATTGTACGCACCGGCTACAGCCCCTGGATGTAGGTTTTTTTCACCTCTCCAAACTTATTACGACCAAGAAATTCAGACAACAACATCCTGGTAGAATCGTCACACATTTCCAAGTAGCTGGTCTTTTCAATAAAGCGTATTTGATGGCTGCGACACCCGCAAATGCAGTACACGCGTTTGCCAAAACAGGAATATATGACTGGATGTTCCAACTCTCTTCCACAACTGATAGACCGAACATGACCAATGCCAAAATGGTCAAAAACAACTACAACAAGGAGGCGTAGACGTTGAACTGCCTAAATTAGGCTCTGGAACACCAGAAGCTACTGAAGTTGAACCTTCAACATCAGGATTTGCCAAAGCTAAGTGCACGACAGAAAGATTTCCGTCAACGAGGAAACGAAGATATTATAGTATTCAGGAACTATCTCCATTGCCGCAACCTTCACTTGGAGCTTCAAGGAAAAGATTAAGAAAACCTAGTAAAAAAGGACATTATAAGTAAATTCCACGCTAGACATTGATGAATTAACAAAGGAAGTACAAGAAAAAACAACAAAGGAGAGGGAAAAGTTATCAAGAAAAGCAAAAAGAAAAATTTTGGTTGAAGAAGAAACGGATTATGTCAGTGATAATGAAAAGGTTGAAGACATTGATGACGATGAAGCCGATGTTGCATATTTATATTGCAATGATATATTCTCTAGGTCGAAAACAAGAGAAATGTGGATTTCATGTCAGAGTTGTGGTTCCTAGTGCCACAGTGAGTGCGCGGGTGTTGAAAAAAGAATCAAGCAATTCATCTGCGAACTTTGTGAATAACTTTTTTTGTTAAGTTTTGCCCTAATGTTTCGTTATTTGATGATTTCTATTTAGTTTATTCGTTTGTTGAGTACCTATGATGGCACACTTCATGGTTTTTGGTTCTAATTTTTTTTCAAAATAAAAATGAATATATGTATTGAAAATTTGATGAATTAATATGAATTTCAATATAATTGCTCGTTTAAATTACCCACAAAAAAATCCCTAATATCATAGATGAGGTTATACTAAGTTGCCAAAGTTAAGTATGCCATCATAGGTAGGTTTCCCCTAAATGTAGCACTTTTTCGTGAATGTTTTACCAACTCGCTGCAAATCACTGACGACTTCTAGGTTATTATTATTTTATCTATTAAGCGATACATGGATTTCGTCACGCTGCTTCGCATTGTCAACTTCTAGGTTGTTTTTTGTTATTCTATAGAAGAATGTTTTATGTACTTCAACCTGTTCCCTTAGATAATGATACCCTTTCGTTCCAATATATATTTATCTTGGGAGTTCGTCGTCTGTTTGGTCATGAGTTGGCTTTTCACTGCAAGTTACGATATTATCGGTTATTTTCACGTGGGCAAATTTCCTAGCGCGGCTTGGGATTCCGATGAAATATAGCACATATAACCACTTTAAATGTGCACTTTTTGCACAATTAAGTCGTCTCACTTTTATCAACGTTTTTACCAGGCGCGATATTTATCATTGCATAGATACGTTCCTTTTTGTTTACTGGATCGGCAAAATCTCGTTAGTCTCATTATTCTCTGATTCATCATTCCCTACTAAAATAGATTTGTCCTTATTTCAAAAAAAGTAAAATAAATAAGTAAGATTATCTTGTTAAAAGACTGATGAAATTATTCAGAATATATGTTTTCTGTTATTCGGTATTTCAATATTCTTTTAAAAAAACGATCTCCTGCGCATAGTATATCAAAAGAAGTATATGTAATGTTATTTGCACCGAATTTCTCGCATCCGCTAATGCGGGATTGACTGTGCGTGGGAAGTTCCGTATAATAACTTTACACATTTTTTATGTCGTTTTCGTTCCAGGTGAGGAAAATGGCAGTGGAAACGAACCTAACGAATAATGCATATGAATTCCCGCTCAACCCCACTATTCATCCGTCATCATCGACGGAATTGTTCAATTTCACCGGAAATTTCAACCGGACTGCAACAGGAAGCTCGGCTTCTGGAGGGGTTTTTGAGAGTCAGCTTATCATTCCGCTTTATGTCATCATATTTGTGCTGTCGATTGTCGGGAATACACTAGTGCTTGTCACGTTGGTGAGGAACAAGAGGATGAGAACCGTGACAAACGTCTATCTGCTGAATTTGGTAAGTCTGTACAACAAGGTTTTCTTAGCAACGATAAACTTTTTTTAAGAAAATATTATTAAGAATCTTCACGGGTCGTTCCAGAGATGGTGACGCGTTGGTCACCATTTTATATTTATTAAATATTGAGTAATTAATACTGGAAGCCTTTAAAATTTTGTTATTTTCATCGATCCAATCATGTGTAGATTAACTTTTGGAATCATTAAATTAACATTTTGTATTACATATACACCACCTGATTTTACGTCTTCGGAACTGGAATTATTAATTACCAGTGCGGAGACCTGAATGTAAACTTGAAAAACTTTATAATTGTTTGTATAGTCTTTGTATTCAATCAGTTCCCATAGTTTCTAATTGATCATCATATAAAGAACAAAAAAAACTCACAGGTGTAAAAAGACCAGAACTAAAAATATAATATATTATAATGAATCGTGGACGGCTGCTATAAAGATAAAGGTCTAAAAGTAAAAACTCGAATACACAATGCAGTTCATGCATTTCTAATTCAAGTGAGAACGATTTACTAGCAAATCCTTCAAGACTGAAATACTGTAAATCATAAAAGGGAAACATCTAATCTGCGTTCCATTTTGAGTTGACAGCATACAAAACCTGTACACAATGCATTTTATATGTTATAATTTGCGGCTGTGTTGTCAGTAAGTTATCAAAACTGTACCAATTTATCATAAGTCTTTGTAATTCCACAGATATTCGTGTTAAAATTCTATATTTATAGTGGAGGTGGTGTTTTCTTTATCTTTTCTAGTTGCTTTGCAATATTGGATAATATACAAATTATCAGAAAATGTCCGTCAAGTGTCATAAATGTTATCGTACAGTCGGACGTACGGATAATTACATCTCCTGTAAATATTGTTCTCAACACTATCAGATTTCACGCCCTGTTTTATCGGATATAACATTTGATAATATCCAGAATGCAGGACTCCTCACTAGCTTTGGTTGTATGTCTTGTAAATCGAAGTCTGGCGTGATCTCTGGAGTTTGCATTAAAGCTGGCGATACAGTTTCTTTGGATACGCAAGGTTGGTACCTCTCCACTGCCTAGTTTAGAGAATTAGTGGCAGGCATTGTTAAAAGTGAACTGCAGCTTTTTGTGGACAAAATTGATTTCCTACAATTTGATTGTAGATCAATTTGGTTAAATCTTTGTTGATTCCCTTCAATTTAATGTTAAAAAATTTCACATTTCCGGAAATGTGGAAACAAGTTCGAATATGCTCTGTTCTGAAAAAAGAAGATTCTTCAGTTCTGGAAAATTATAGGCCTGTTTCAATTTTAAGTGAATTACTGTATAATTTTTACTGGTGTTCGTCTGTAATAACTAGGAATTTTCTGTGGGAGGGTAAAAGTAGTATTATTATTATTACAGTTAATAACAATAGCCTAAAATATAGTTTCCCATGTTAAGATCATGTAAGGTATATATGTACAAAGCAGGTTGAAGGGCAACTTGTTTGGGAAATGAACTTTAGTCTTTGTTAGTAAGGTATTTGTTCGTTAAACGTTTGCGGTAAATTTTTTACAGGTCGTCAAATTAAATATATACACGCGTGGGATATTTTATCCTGAAGGAGCTTGCAAGAAACTACGTAGCTTCCACATATGCAATCCCCTTTTTTCAGCCAAAATAAATTAATACGCGTGTTCGTTTTATATGTGAATGAAGTTAAAATAAATATTTTCTAAAAGTATAAAATCTATCACTTCCTAGTGAGTAGCTGAAGCGATGCAAAAATAGTAGATGAATTTATGCTATTAGAATTAAAAGTTATTAATTGATTATATTTGCGAGGCGAACCGTGGCGAAACAACCAATTGCGGGGCAAAAGATGTCACTTTAATCCGAATAACATATGCTATATATCTCCAACCGAGATAAAAAATTTTGGAGTGGGGAAGTTTAGCCCTGTTCGCTCGGTTATAATTAATTGAATAATAAAACAAGTAACCTTAACAGATGTAGCTATGGATATTTGCAAATATTTGTCCAACATTCTCTGCCATATTCCATATTAGTGTTGAGTTTGTGAAATTTTTATAAAAATGACTTCAAATGAAGATTTAAATGTACCTACCTGCAGATATATTGGACTGTACAAAAGCTTCTTTGAATTTGCTTCCACCAAAGTCTCGTGAACTTTATGAATTTATATAGACGTTTTATGGATTGGTGCAAAGAAAAAAGTTGTCAATCTTATAAAGAAGTTATTCTTATAGTATATGTTTCGAATTTATCGACTAAAATGATACCCCAACTCTTTGGGCACAATATTCAATGTTAAGATGAAACTTGGATACAAAAACTCAGCGGATATAAGCAAATATTCTAAAATGCACACCTTCCTGAAAAGACAAAAAAAGGGCTATCAACCAAAAATCCCAAGGTATTTACCAAAGAGTAAGTGGATATTATATTTTTCATGTTGAAGGTAAACCATGTCAAAAGTATGTAACACTAAGGAACAAAATTTAAAAAATTTCAGGTTGTCTTGATATTAGGAATTGCAGGCAGATGTCATTGCGAGGAACTGGTCAATTTAGAAATCAATGATATTGAGGATATAAAATCAGCCTTGCTATATAGTTGAAGTTCATCAAACCAAACAAAATAAAACCAAAAAGTCTCACTCATTTACGGTTTTGGGAGAAAATTATCTAAGGTTTTTTCAAAACTATGTTGCTTTGCAGTCTTCAAATATTGAAAAACGATAATTGCTTTTAAAATAATATATAAATGGAAAATGTCATAGGGTAGTTGTCGGTCTACACAAAATCACTGTCGTGCCACAAGAAATTACAAAATTCTTCAAACTAGATATTTAAAATAATACACAGGACACTCAATGCGAAGAACTTTTGCCACACTTCTTGTGGAAACAGGGGGTAATCTGATTAGAGATCCAGCACATTTAATATTAATATAAATAAATAATTTCACTTTTCTTTCTCTATTCTTCTAATAAAAATTTAGATATTTTTTCTGTTAGGATTATAAGTTACTATTATTAGTCCTAGCAGAAAATGTAGCCAAATTTTTTCCTAGTACGTATGCGTATTGATTTTTTGACGATTTTACGTTCTGTAAATATTCAAGCTCTGAGCATTATTCCCATCAGTTCTGTTTGCAAGACAGACGTATGGGTGCTGAGAGGTACACTGATTTGTGTGTTCAGTTGTTCGGAGTAGATAGATGCTAGCTCCTGAACCATGATTTTGGTGCCATCGACATAGATATCGATGTCGGCTCTTTGTTCTGAATTATTATTCACTGGTATTGTATATGTTTTTCATATATTAATTTTGTGCCGAATTGGTCAGAACCCATCCTTAACAGAAATATTCCGTTGAACGCTTCCGCCACAAGATCGTGTGTGCTACGTTATGCGGCTCTACTTGTTCGATGCTCCCAAAGAATGAAGCCTTAGAGACGTCCTCATTGCCGCTTCCTCTACAGCCGGGTTTCGAAATATGTGCAATAAAAAAAAACAGGGAATAGCTCACAATTAAGAACCAAAAAAAAGTGACTGATCAGAAACGTGCAAAAACACGAAAACGGTTAGCCATGTATTGCATCGAACGATCCGTTTATTTGGCTTATGGTGTGCTTTATGATGTGCGCGAACATTTGTATCAGTGGTACAGCATCTCCGAGATCATGGTACCTTCAACCTCAAACTCACGATCGTGGCCGTTATAGGACAGACAGAGTACCTACTACAAAGTGAAGAACAAATTTTGGAACGCGCCGAAGAAAAGCCCGACATCAGTACTCACCGACTTGTAGCTGAAGTTGAAGTTTCACAGTATGTAGTTCATCGTACATTAAAAGAACAAGGTCACATCCATACCATGTTGAAAAAGCGCAAGTTTTGGAGCCCGCTGATTGTCCACGTTGTGTAATTTACTGCAAATGCTTGTTACAGCAGTGTCGTGAGCGCCCTAACTTTTGAAAGTGCATTCTGTTTACGGATGAAGCAGGATTCAGTCGCAATGCTGTTTTCAACACACACAACAGTCATATTTGGTCCCATGAAAATCCACACGCTCGTCAGGAAGTGCATTTTCAACGACGGTTTTCCAGAAATGTGTGGGCCGGTGTCGGTTGGATGAAACAGTTTATGGAACTCCCGGTGGTTTTTTATCTATTAACAAACATGTTGAGACGTTCCGAAGCCTGTATTGCTAGTCAAAGATAACATTTTCAACATTTCTAGCAAAAAGGTAATAACATTCTAAGTTGCTGTTATTTTTGTTCTAATAAACAATGTAAAATCGTTGTGGCAAGGACCAAACATCCGTAAGAATCAAAAGTCGATCACCATGAAGCATTACCAAAAATCGGTCGTTTTCAGGACCTGTTGTAAAGTAAAGTAGGTTATTGTTGCATTATTGTTGCATTATAATTTCATTTCGACATAGTTTTGTTAGCTATATTAAATTAGGTTGCTTGTCCAAATGTTTTGTAATCGCTGACTCCTCTGTATTTTGTAAGAATATGGTCAGTTGCCCTCGTTACGAGGAAGTGATAAATAGAGGAGTCAACGAAGAAACAAGGGAGAGAATGTGTGTACGTAAGGTAGAGAAGAAGTTGCCATGTGATCATGGCCATGTATAAAGTTGTCATATAAGTTTTGTTATGTGGGCAGTGAAATAAACGGGAAATCGAAATATATGTGTCTAAGTCACAACCCCTTCACAACAGACCACCATTTGTTTCTGCAACCAATAATCTTTCGCACTGACCTTTAACGATGAATTAATGCAGTAATGAACGAATGATAATTAAGCAGCAAAGAGTCGTTTTTTTACTTCCCGAGCGTAAGCAAAGGAAGTATTGTAATCGAGTCCGTCGGCCGACTCTCTACTTTTACGTTTTCTCGATCTTTCATGACCCCTAGAAGACGAAGAAATAGGTCTCCCGTTTCCGTCTGTCTGTCCGTCCGTCTGTCCGTCTGTCCGTCTGT